TCAGACTCAGCCTGCTGCTTTCCTTTACAACAAATTATTTTGGTAATTTAATGGCAAATTTAGTGTAGATTTTCTATTAAATTCTACAGAGTTTGGTTCACAATACTGAAAATGAAGAAGAGACATTTATAGGTAAAGATAAGTGTTTCACAGTAAGAAGAATACATTCTCCATTATATAATATATTTCAGCTCTAGTTAGACTGTCATTTTTTTCCAATCTGTGCACATTTTATATATATATGCATATTGGTATAAAAATAATTTCTGAAATATAAAATACTATGTTTCATTTAGTAAGGTATAAAATGATGCTCAAATTTTTGAGGTTATTTTTACCACCAGGAATGCCTTTATTTTTAATAGCTCATTTTGACTAGGAATAGGTTGCTGAAAGTTACCATCTGCTTCCAGTTTGCACATAAAATTCCAATTAGCTGAACTTCATATATGTTTTGCAAGGTAATTATGCTTACTTTTTTTCCAGAATGGGAATATATTTGTCAGATAGTATCTGGATGTCCTCATAAGCACAGCAATCTTAGCTTGACTTTGTCTGCCCCCTAACATGCTCAAATAGAAGGTTATCAATTAGGTTGATGAGAGATTATGGCCTTTGATTACCACTGCTCTAAAGTACTCTGTTTCCCCTTGATTACAAACATACAGTCAAGCTTAACAAGAACCCTGTTTTTCAATTCCACAGAGAGAAAGGAACTTTAGCATTTCTCTGTATTAACAGTACTTTAAAATGCAGTATCTATGTGACATTTTTTGTGTAAACAATTTGGTTCCTCATATTATTAACCTGAACATGCATCTATCAAAGATTTTTGATAGATCAATAAAATAAATTATAAAAAGAAATCTTCTAAAAATAAAATCAATTATAATCCAATCCTAAAGAGTATTATCAGCACAAGTTACTTATCTCGAAGTCACACACTATCAGTGTGGATACTCACAGGTTTTCTTGCCAGACAGCTATGGATTAGGAATGGTAAAGGGCTCAACTCAAGCACTTTCATTATTATACAGAGCCTTCAGAAACCAAGTAGAAAGGATTCCAGATGGCCTATCTATTCTCCCACTGAAACCAGTGACAGCAGCAAGTATAGTAACTGCTGAAATACAGTTTAAAAATGGTTAACACCCACACTTAAATTTAGCTGAGCCATAGTTTGGGAAAAGTGAAACCAATGGACACTGTGCCGTTACAGGTTAGGTTTAGGTCCTTTATTTACTCTGTCTGACTTAGCTTTTTCTCAGTCCAGATAAAGCCAAATATGATTCCCCTTCCTATGCTCAACATTTCAAATTAGATAAACCCTATTCAGTTTTCATCTCTTCTGCCCAAAAAGTATGTGCACAGATACCCAGCCTTGATGTAACAGAATAAATGTTGAGGTGGCTGAACAGACCTTACTTTCACAAGCCCTAACATTTGGACAACAACATTATCATCACATCTTTGAAGTAAATCTAGTTACTCAGTTCTAAGTGATTTTCTGTACTCATTAATTCCTACCACAGAACACAAAGCTGGGACAGTTTAGAGCATTATTACGTTTCCTTTACAAAAAGTATCATCTCCTGATGAAAAGTTATACAAAAGATTGATTTTGTAACAGTGAAATAAAAATCACTTTAAAATCAAGAACTACTACTACTGAGCATTGCTGCTGTTTGAGTGATGCCAACACAGCCTTCAACTGGTATCCTGTTTGGAGGAGAAAAATGGATTCTTTTTAAAGATTGCATTCTGCATTTTCCATCTTGTTATTTGAATGCTATTGCACTGCTGCAACTGGTTAGCACTGCACATCTGGCTGAATTGTCTGAACTGGTATTTTCCTAACTATTGTGTATGTGTATGATGGTTTTTTAAAAAAATATTGTATGCACGCTGAAACAATGCCCTGTTTCAGACTGCTACACACAATTAGTGAGAGCATGTTTTTTTCTGATTTTGTTTTCAATGTCAAAAAACTGCTATTTTTAAAGTTAGCCACCATGAAATTCTAGCCATGCTTTTACAATGTTTTATAATTTGTGGGGTTTTGGCTCTTAATCTCCCAGGCCTGAACCTTACACTGGAAGTGTTATCTCATAAAAGCTCTGGATTTCAACAACTTCTACTCTACAGCAACTATTTTAAACTTACATTTATCAGGAAAAAGAGCATATAACTAAAATATTCTCATAAAAATAGTTTCACAGAAACAAAACAGATAAATGTTCCATTCAGTAAAAGGTCATTTTTTCATAACTTTGGCTACAGAAGCCCTACGATTAAGCCAAATTTGATTCCAAAGCCAAAATTTTCCTGTCTTCCTGCTACAAACCATCATACTAAGAATTTGCAAAGTCCATCAGACTAGTATGGGGCAAAAAGTCAATCTTTTCTCATAAAATTACCATAATAACCAAATATTTTACTTACAAATACTACAATTTACATGTTTCACAACTATAAAGCATTTGGGAAAAAAGGATGGATGGGAGGGGTAAAGTGATATTTCTTATTTAAAATAAACACATAAATATCCAGAGCCTTAAAAATGCACAGTCCTGGTTAGCTTTCTAGTAGAAAGGATCTGGAAAGCCCCTACTCGTGCTCAGCTAAGAATTTCCCTGCCACGGGGGAGCTCCCTGCTGACACAGAGCCAGCAGGACTGGATCCTGCACAGATCCCATTTGACACCAGCACAGGATGCATTAGGAGCTGGCAAGAAGTGGCCAGAGCACGTTTTATACTGCTGAGGACTCCCATGCCTAAATTGCTCTAATTTATACTCAGACTAGCCCTGCCTTTTACAAGGCAGTTCTGCAAGGCTAAGCATAAATCCAGTGCAACAGAGGCTCTGGATTTAGCTACATATAAGAAGTCTCTAATGGTAAATCATAAATTAACAAAAAACACTGAATGAGTTTTTACTGTCCTGTAAGATTTGGAGAAACTTGAAGCCTGGACAAAAGCAATCAGGCTTCAGAGCTGTCACCCTCTCTCCTAACCATGACAACCAGGTGCCTTGGTTTATGCAAGCATACAAAACCTTGGATATGTTCTTAACTGCTCCTATGGTGGCTATTGAGAAGCCTCATCTGTACATTAATTGCTCATTTTTCATCATAAGTGCAAAATATCTGGCTGCAAACAGCAGGGTTTCCTGACAAAAATGTGCAATTGTGTCTCTTGTGTTTGTCCAACTGTATTTCAGACACAAGCTTAACTTTCAGCACATTTTTCTACTATCAAGAAGAGGATTGAACAGGACACATGAGGAGAAGAAAAGACACTCAGTGGAGTCTCTGTCTTCCTTCTGTTCTTCCATAATTTTCTATGAAAATGACAGGAGTTTTGCACCTTTCTTTACAACAAGTCTGGCAGAATGCCGGCTGGTACTCCCAAGCCACGTGTAAATTCAGCTCAAGATACACACTGTATAATTTATTCTCTGAAGAACACTGTGCAGAATTGGAATAATGAAAACCTGGCTCCTGGTTTTCCAGATACAGATTTTTACTACCTAGTAAAATGTGGGCTTTCTGACCTCTGTCCATTTTATGCTTGTGAAGATACCCAATTTCTGAACACATGCCCTCCAGTGATTTTGATCAGCTGTTCCCAAACTTTGCTCTTGAGGTGACCACCATTAGAGACAGTCCTGACCTGTGGTAGGACCATCTCTGCAAAACCAGAAGCTTCTTGTCAGGCCAGGTACACATTCAGTCACCTCCAACCCTTTAGTTGCAGTCTCACTCATCCAAGAAGGATCCCCAATTCCATATTTTCATCTACCGCTGCTCTACGTGTCTCACCTCCCAAACCAGAGCCTCTCTTATGGTGTCCAATCCCTTACTGACCTTTGATCAGACACCAACACCAGTCAGGGTGACATTAGCCACATCCTCCTACACAAAAAGCTTCCCTGCCTCTCCAACCCTGCTCCCTTCTGCCTGAGCCCTGCCTGACGCCCCTGAAGCCAGCTGGGCAATGGAGCTGGGCAATGTCAGATTGTGGCCTCACTGCTGAGAGCACTCCTGCAACTGCAGCCTCATAGAGAAGAAAATCTCAACAGATCAGCAAAGACCTTCTGTGTGGATCTGTTCACCTCATGGCTCACAGAAATGCTTGTTACAAGCAGAGTTAACAGCTGCCATCATCATGTGCCACTTTCAGTTGGCTTTGTACCACGATTTGGGAATGTCTGTCTTAGACAATAGGCACAAATATGTGTAACAGTCACATTTAGATCTGTTCTTTTCTCTTCCTGACAATGTTCTAATTTAAGATCCTAGTTTCACTTAACCAGACATTTTTAATGGAGAGAATTTCATTCCCATATGGCACCTTCAAGGACCATGACTCCTCCAGAAATCTGTATTACACAAGCCAAACAGTGCTAACAGTTGTACTGCTAACAGGTCACATACTTGGGGTTTGTTTTTAGACTAATGTTTGTTTAAAAGTGAGGAATACATTTTGGATTGTAAATATGTGTTCCAAAAAAACTGTGAAGAGAATAAGGAGAGTCAGATGGAAGAATTTTACCTCTACTTTGTGCTGATTACATAATTTATCAAGAAATTGTTCCACAGGCCTCCAACAGATGCTCTGTTGTTAAAGCCATGAAAAGTCATTCAGGGAGAGAGTAAAGGCCTCGGGGGTGTGGTCCACATGCTTCAGCACATATATCCTCAGCCCTGGCCTGCAGATAGCACATCTGGTCCAGGCATGGACCTGATGGTTGGCCAAAATACAGGCTTACAATAATGCTCCTTTTTTCAGCTTTAATGTAAGCCTGTTTTCTTGCCAAATTCAAACCCTGCCAAAATTTGGCCGAAGATGTTTGCTCGATTGTGCAATATCTTAAGTTTATATCCAACAACTCTTTGCAAAAACAATTGTATCATGTTTTTAATGTTTACAGGCATTAACAATATTTAATTTTAAGTAGAATTTTACTGCTGACACTCTCGTGTTTTACAGTAAATTACCTTAGAGAGGGTTTTTCCATTAGCTCTGAGTGTCACGAGTCCTGCACAGCACACCAAAGCACTGGAGCTAGAGAGACCAGAACTTGGAGGGATGGTTCCATCTAGCAGACAATTCATTCCAGTTGGGTTATTGAGACCAAAATGTTCCTAACAATGAAAAAATAAACAATCTCAGTTTCAAGTACAGACAGGCTCAGGCTTGCAATTATCTGATACTTAGAAAGAGAATCCTTCTGCTGAGTTGCTGGAAGCAAGGACCTGCTTCTGGTATCTCCAAAATAAAGCAAAAGCAAAATTTTCATTCTATTCCTTAAGAACAAAGCCAATGGTGGGGCTTCAGCCAAAGGTATGTCTGCAATGGCTGTACACAAACACATAACTACCCCAAGCAGAACTCAGGATGGGCTGCACGCCCAAGAATTTACCAAGCTTCGTGGGTGGGTTTTGCAGCAACTGGCTCTGCTTTGAGCTGCTGTGGGGACAGTGCGAAGTTACCAATCCTTTTGTATCCTACTTTTGTCCTTTTCTTGACAGCTCTTCATTTAGGCACGCCAAAGAGCTCAAGGTCCACTTTATGCTTCACTTCCAAGGCTGGCACGTGGTATTTGGGAGCCACATGGCACTGAGGGGGAAGCAGTAGCCATGCAGCTGTTTTCAAAGCAGATCCTCGTGTCCTGAAGCACCCACAGGACTGACACTGGGAAAACCACAATGGTACTTAAGGGTCACAAAGACACACCTACCAGTGGGGACGGTCTCTGGCATGCTATTTTTTGAATGAAGTTTAAAATATTCTAACACACATGACAGATACCACAGATAATACATTTAATCAAGAAGTCATAAATCCTCATGTGCGTACTCTTTTAAATAGAGTTGTTTTGTCTTTTTATTTATAATCACTTTTATAAAATTTCTCTCTGCTATTAGTTTGAAACAAACATGCAGTACTTATTAAAAAATCATTGACTATATATGAGGGGTATATGAATAGCTAACTTCTGATGCAATTTACACGTCAATAAACTGTTACAGTGCCAATAATCAGAAAAAATAACAGTATTCTCATCAAGAAATGTCCACCTTGAAAAGATTTCTACTACTTCTCCTGAAACAGCTTCAAACATAAATACCAATGGTAGAAATCAGCAAACACAAAGAGCCTCCTTTAAAGTCTTCTACCATCACTTCAAATTATATTTTGAATTTCCTGTTTCACAAATAAAGGAAATTCATATCTAGAATACTGTTGCTGCCCATGCCCCTTCCTGAAGAACACTAGACAGGCTTGTTCATAAACAGAAAATGCCTGAGTAACCAGAAACTGATCCACAGTTTCTGGATCGTCTTGAATGTGAATCAGGCTTGCAGACTTATCACGCAATGTTTAAATAGAAAACGTACTTCAGTTTCAAAAATGAAAATGGACTTTGCCAAGTTCTGCAACAGTTCTGTCCCAAAAGGATAGCATGTTCAACCTAATATAAACAGATTATCCCGCTGGACCCCCTGAGTACTTGTATTTCAGAGTTTCTTAAGTCTGTAGCATTTATGCTTATTTTTTGCCAGTACTAGAGTCTGCAAACCTGCTTTGCAAATTAACCTTCAAATACAAAAGCTTATCCTTAGGAAACAGATCTCAGTAGCAGACTGCAAAATAAATAAAGGCAATTGGTCATGCAAGCTTTAATGTAAGAAAGGATATATTGTAAAGAAACCTATATCTCTACAGTCAGTGCAATTTAAATGCCTGTATTGCTAAGCAATGCAAAATTGAAAATACTCATGTTACTGCACACATAAGTAATTTATTTGGGTCTATGCATAGGAGCAGGGGGCGGTTTAGGACCTGTGAATTGTAATAAAGTGATTTGTGGCACTGATTGTTCTGAATATTGTTATTTTGAAGCCTCCAGTGGCAGGTCTGAGGTAGGCTTTTCAGCAGTCTGCAGTCCTCATCTATTGGATCATCCTGTGGGGTGACCTAGATGGCCTCTCCTGAGGCAAACTTCATGTGCTTTAAAAAGCGCATTTACCCATAATTTGGGCTGGCTGTGGTGACCTGTTCCTGACTTGCCATCACTGTTTATCCCATCTGCCGTTCCAGAAATATCATTAGATTAACATTGAGCAGAGAAGACACCTTTACTTCTCCCCTCAAAGGGCCGTGAATTCTGTGAATTCTGTGCCTCACCTGCAAACAGCAGGTGAGATTTGCAGGATCCTCGATGGTGAGTTGAGGCTGCCTCCCACGCAGCACTGATGACCAGCACTTGTTTTCACAAGAGCTGGGTCTTCAGGCCAGGCTGGAGAGGGGAGCTCAACCTCGAGTGGGCAGACAGGAAAAGGTCTGGGAGGCTGAGCTCCCGCCTTTTCCGTCAGTGTGCCCCCTCCTGCACAGCTGCACTTTGAACTCAGGACATTCTGAAAATCCCATTCAAATTCCAAACCCCGAAAACCGGGATGAGTAATGGTTCTTAATGGATTGTTTCTTCTGTATGCTGTTTACTTGGCTTTTGCATTTTCTTTTGCCTACTGCATGAGTCAGCTTCACTCAGCTGCTGTGCACAAATTACAGGTTTTCAACTTTAATGAAGGTCCGTGTTTTTTAAATGCTTCCATAGAAAGAAAAGGGTTAAGATATGATCTTTGTGTCCTGAAAAAAACAAACCTCCAAACCTTTTTCAAAGCAGATTTTAATTAAATAATTCCATTGGAAAACATTCCTTTTGACTTCAAAATACAGAAATGTCATCCTGATGATGTTTGATCACGACTTTCTGAAGCAATTATTTGCTATTGTATTTTGTTTTACAGAGATGAAAATAGTGCTCTGCCAGTATTTTAAAGAAAACCCACTCATATCTCCTCTTCAAGTTTTAACATAAAAATATTTGTTAAAAAAAAAGCTATATAATGCAGGGCAACATTTAGAGAGTAAATAGGTGTTCTTATATTTTACATTAATTTCATAAATTAAATGGATTTGGCTTACCTGAATACCCTTCAGTCCACACAGGAAGTAGTTATGCCACTGAGGTTTGGTTTTGTTAATCTGAATGTTATTAACACTAGTACTGAAATCCCTGCAAAAACAGAAAAACCTTAAGGCTTTGATTTGTATTAAATTTAGTTTGAAAAAACATGGCTTGTTACTGCCACCTGCTGATGGACAAAACTGGTGATGGTTTTCAGTGCAATGTTCTCTGGCTTGGTTTCTTGTTTGATCTTTTTACATATCTTCTTTATTAATCATTTCTATATGGTTATTTTAGATGAAAGCATAAGAACTCTTGAGTAAGTATAAAGAATATATTAAATAAATACAGAAATTAAGCTGCCTTTGACATCCTTAATTAAGGCAGGATGCCTTCCATCATGTATGTGTATGCTATCATGATTTCTTAGAAATGGAAATTCAAATAATCATATCTGTCAAACCATGACTAGAGGCAGACAAACTTCAGGCACTCTGGTAATTCCTGCTCAGGATTTCATCTTTATTACCTTTGCTTTGAATGGCACTTCACTAAAACAAGCCTAATGCTCCAGAATTATATTATGTATGTTACAAGACAAAAATATTTAGTTTAAATATTTTATCTGTTCCCTCCTGGATAATTCCTACTCCATCTTTCTTTCAAGTTAATAAAAATACTGAGCTTGGATGTTCCTAAAGAACAGCCAGGTGCTGTCAAAATGGGCATGGGTGACACACAGAGGCCTCAGAGAGGTGCAAGTTGTTTGGCAGTCTGTAGCCTTGAACACCCAGGAACTTCATCTGCTTGATGTTGTGACAGCAGGTGCCCAACACAGAAACAGCAAAGGCACTGAGAACAGCAAGAAATCAAATTTAAAATATTCAAAAGTTCCAAATTAAGGTGTGCTCTACAAGGCAAGGTCTGATAAAAAATATGAACAGAGGCAGCTGAATTCCTGGAAATATTTAACAGGAATAAAACCAGTTTCAAGAAATAATACTTCAGGGGACAGTCTGCAACTCCTAAAAGGATGGAATTTTTCCTTCTTACACTGGTGCTAGTAAACTACATAGATTATTGATTTCCTGGGTTTATTTTTGTCCAAAAGGACATCACTAATTAATACTTGTAATGGATATGAGTGAAAAGATGTTTTTATCCGTAAATTATCCTGTTACCTATGGATAAAAAGTTATACAACTATATATAACTGTATTCAAGCAATGTCTGAAAAGCTCACTTTATTCTGGTGCACTTAGAGGCTGCAATTGTTGTGTCATGCAGCCCCCAAAGCAACAAGCAGTGTTGCAGTGGCACCAGAATTCATCTGGTCTGTTGCTTGCCCGTCTGTAGAGAGATCTCCACTTGCACTCCCAGCCTGCAGCCCATTCCCAGCTCCATGGCACATGACACATCTGGCACTTGGACTATCAACTTAGAATTCTCATTTTGCCAGTTATACATTCAAGTTCAACCTTAATTACAGAGCAAACCCATCAGGCTGGTGTACAGTTTAATGTGTAAGCTGCTATTTTAGTGCCACAAACAGCATTTTATCAGCAGTGCAGCAGCAAAGAATTGCACAAAGCTACAGTAAGAAATTAATAGGTTTTGCTGAGGAACACAGAAGATATGAAAGGGAGTAGTGAGATTGGAGTACTAGGAAAGTTTGAGAATGGCTGTAAATTCTCCCAATTTGAGATTCATGTGTATTTAGAATGATCTCCAAGAAAATAAAACATCAACTTGCTTATGGTTTTTTAATAAAATAAACCCCCTATGAGGTATTTGTAAAATAGAAAAAACTTGTCATAAGTAATGAAGATTTTAAAATTCTGTGTTTATTTATGCTTGCTTCCTAAAATAATCCTAAATTACTGTTGTAAAAAACAAGGCTGGTGGAAAGCAATGTGTGAAAGTGATTAAGAGAAAAGGAATCTTAAGTCTTCTTTGCCTCAAAGAATTCTAAAATATTTTATCTTCATAATTCATTTTACCCTCTCAGAGAAAAATTTCAATGAACAAGAAGACACATATTATGACTATATATTTGCTGGTTCTCAAGATAAATTAAAATAATGACTTCTTAAAATGCATTTTGCTATTTTTTGCAATCTTCTTACATAGAAAATGGGAGAAAAAAATGGCTTTGATTTTGGCAGGTTTTATAAGGACATAATTCACACAAACACAGAATGTGGGACTGTCAAAATTCCCAGAATACTTAAGTCTTTTTTTTGTTATCACATTCAGTTTTTTGTTAAAAACAGTTCCTAAATATCCAAGCTTTATCTTAAATCAGTAAATCATCAGCTTGCTTTTGAACCTCCTACTGAAAATTAGGCATTTTAATATAAGAACTTTATAACAAAATAAAATAAACTATTGGGAAAAACATACCCATGAAATAAAAATACTCTGATGTTGTCTGTTCCAGCCTTTCTGTTTGGGGAAAAAATGCCAGTTCTCCATAACTAGACATAAAAATTTCAATTTCTCTGTATAATTAGAAGAGATAGGATTTTTAAGTAGTGTGACTGAGGTGGTTTTTACTGCTTGAAAAGTAAATAATCCTTATTTTTGGGAGATCAATTTGGCTCTTTCTTACAGAACCTTATTGTCTTTGTCAATCTGTTAGTTTATCCGTTTGAGTCTTCTGTACAAATACCCTGATTTAAAAATAAACAAACAAAACTTTCAGGTTTTGTTGTGAGATGGAAACTGATTGGTAATTACCATCCTCTGGTACTTCTGAAGGCACTTTGAGAAGTATAATGTCAGTTATTCTCTCTACACATACTTCTCCATTACAAAGATGCTTTGTGAAAGGGAGGTATTAAGAACTTCAAAAGAATGTAAGTTTTGAATACCTTTTTAGTCCCAATAACATAAAAGGCATCAGATCAGCTGAGATAATTTATGATAAAAAACAAACAGGTGTTTTTTCTATCAACCTGTTCTCTGTTCTATTTCTACTGAAAGTTAACGTGAACTATCAGGGTGGAAGAGTGCTACAGAACTGTTCCACAGTTTACCAGTTCACAAAATAAGAATGAAATAGGAAATAGTAATTCTACAGAGGATTCTGGTTAGTCCTTGTTCACCAAAGGCCTATAGATACACATTCACCACAGACATAAATCTACCAGTGCAACAGGCAGGGAAAAAAAGACATACTGTCATCAGTTTTGTTATGTGGTGTAACATTCAAAGTGTTGAAAAAGATTTCTTTGTTATGAAATTATGGACATGTTTTAGCTTTGTTTTTAAGCAACAGTGTCTCAACAAAACCAAGATGCTTAATGCTGTGTTCTGAGATCTTTTCTTGGTTTATGGTTTAAAGCATAAGATTTTAAACTGAAACCAGGGCAGATGTAAAAATATAGTGTCAGTGTGTGTGTGTGTGCAATTTAAATTCAAAGGCTGTATTTCTACATTTTGTGGAACTGTCCTGAGAAAGCCATTTCAATTGCAAGATAATGCAGCAAAGCTTGAAGACCAAGTGAAAATGTTTACCTTTTTATTACTGCTTTATTTAGTGTTCATTATAACAGCTTTTCCTAATCAAAACTATTGTAATTCTGAAGCTATTGTCTCTTGCAGAATGGTTCTGCAACACAGCTTAAGCCCTGGTGGGAGGTTGCTGTTGAAGAAAGGAAAGGTCCCACACACCTTCCATTTCCCTTCCCTGTTCACCACCACTGCTTGTTCCCACTGTTAACCCCAACTCAGCTTTAGTGCTGAGTGCAAGGCAGTTCACTAAAATGACAGAAAATTATCCAAGCAAAAAATGGGGGAATAGTGCACTTCAGCTTAAGATCAAACAAGTACTCTACACCTGCTAAAAGGCAGAGGCTGAGCTGATTTAGAAGCAGGTACAGGGAGACTAGGGGTAAAATAAGCCAAGCCATTGCCTTTTGGCAATGGCAAACATCTTAATTCAGCCCAGCTGTAATGTGAAAACATACTCCACAAAGTGAAAAATCTCTGGGTATTTATACTTAGCATGGAAGTACAAATTCTTTTCAACTGTCTTAGTCACAGGCAGCAGTTCAGAATGTGTTTATAACAAACTGAGCTTTAAGCAGGAATATGTGCTCAAGTATTTCCCACTTTTGTCAGTATGTTCCTGTCCCTGTGCTGCCACACACTGTGCTTTCAGGAACTAATTTACCAATTAAACCAATGGCTCAATAAAAATGGCTTAAACTAAGCTTTTGCTGATTCTGATTTTTGCAAAATGTCCGCAAAAGCTCATGTGGGTGAGTGACCTGATCTGAACTGCCATGCAACTACACAAATATCAGTCTGTTACAAAGAGGCAGAAAAACGTGCCTGAAGTTTAAAAGAGTGGCAGGATTATTTCCCTATGTTCAGCACTTGTGAGACCATAGTGGAATATTGCATCCAGTTTTGGGGTTTCCCAATACATGAAAGCCATTGGCAGGGAGTTCAGCAAAAGGCCAACAAGATTATTTACAAGGGATCTTTAAAGGTCCTTTCCAACCTAAATTGCCCTTTAATTCTGTGAACAACAGCTGTGGAAGAAGTGGAAGCAAGGGAATACAGATTTTTTTTGAGCCAGGATTGTTGCTAAAGCTGTTGTGCTGTGAAAACACAGGCCCAGGTTCTCCAGAGCAGGGGAGTGTTACCTTACTTTGGCAGTAATTGATTACAAAACATTCCACTCCCTTCTCCAGGGCACACGGAGCTGCTGCCAATTATGGGGATCATATCGAGAAAGATGAGATAAAAGAAGGAAGGACAGAATTGCAGAATTTTAGGATTGAAAAATCAGAGGCCTTACAGAGTAATATGAACAAACAGGTGGGGGACAGCAGCTGCAAAGCTATTGCTCTGAACTAACAGACATGGCATGGAGTCAGCCTGTGGGATTCCATCTGCTGATATAAATTGTTTTACACAATCAGACTCTCTATTGCAATGGAAGTCTGTCAGATCTCTGAAAAGGTAAACTGTATTGCAATGCATGAAGAGGTTCATAAAAAATAATGAATTAAAAAAGTCATTACGTACAAGTATGAAGAATTGGTATTTGCCAGTTGCACAACTTGAGTTTGTACAGGTTCTACTGCAATCAGGATATCTTGTTCTATAGCCATTGGGAGCACAGCATAACCACAGTAATCTATGTGTTCTCCTAGCAAAGAAACAAAGAAAATACTTTGCAATAATTCTTTCTAGAATAGCAATAACATGATTTCTACAGGGCTTCAGTGTTGTTTACTGGATGAGACAATCTCTTACTGTAGTTTCAACTCTTATTACCTAAACTTTGGGGTACGTTTCCTCCATTTCTTATTACTTCACAAAAAGTTTTTCTTTCTTTAGTGATTTTTATCTATTGCCGGTTTATAAATGGTCATATTTTAACACTGACTTACAAAAATTCTAAAAAACCTCCACCATGCTGATTACTGCCCAAGGATGAGAACTGTCATGTGCATACAATTTCTGGACCTTTTTCCAAGAAGATAACTACTATATTTAAATAATCATTAATACAGTTGCATACAACACATAAAGTAAAAACCAAATAGAAAATGTATGTAGTAAACATCCTCTCCCTGGATGGAATAATTCCCAGTTACCATATGCTATTTAGTCTATATGAGATGTTCACATAACACTGATATAAAAATTAACATTAACTGCATAATAAACTAATTGACCTTTACAGCTCTGTTTCTCAAGATCCTTTTACTACGTCTTCAAATGTGTAGGATTATTTTATGAACATATGCAAGAAACTCAGCTCCAGGGAGAACACAATCCTAACACAGACAGAGAAATCTAAAAAATAAGGCTGATACAGAAATAAAAGTAAGTCCTAAACACAAAACAATTGTGACTCTCCAGTCTGCCAGTGAATCACACCCACTATTTTAAGTTCTGTGGACACATCTCTATGGAAGAGTAAACAAAAGATGGTAGAATCATTTAATGCTTTATCATTTATATTGTTGTGGGGCTGGTTATATTTGAAAACTTTAATTAATTTTTAAAAAATAGTTGGCAAGTTACTCCAATTTTCAAAACCATCACTACTGTCTATAAATGTTTTTCTCCAAAACTGATATCCATGCAGAGTTGTTTATAACAAGATACTGTAAAATCTACCAAATTATATATGATTTTCCATTTATCACAAGAAACTTCTTTGAAAATATAAAATTAAGACCAGCATTTTCATTCTTTGTTTTAAACTACTAGATTTCCATTATGACAGATGAAGTAAAACAACAGAAGGTTAATTCTTCTCTTTTACCTATTAAGTTGACTCGTCCTGGTGCACGAGCATAAAACTTAGGAGCTGATCCAAACTTGGATATAAACATCTCCTTCAGTTTCTGCAATCTGAAAGACAGGTTAGAAACATTTAGAAGGACTATATTTGCATTAAAGACAGGAAGCTTCAATGCTTGTTGAAGAAAATTCAATTCAGCTTCCTGAAGTATGTGGCATTTTCTCTCTTACATCAGGACTAACATTAAACTGGTTATTTCTGCCCTTCATATACCATTGAAGACTATACTTACATTTTGATTTTTATCAATTTTCATATTTGGCATTACCCCATCTTTGTATAAATATATACACAGAGAACTAAAATTCCAAAAGTCAGATTATCCCCATGACTTATGACAGTACTTACTCCACAGGATTCCAGCAAAAGCACTTCAGGTTTTCCATTTAGAGGTGCCTGATGTGCTACTGAAAGTTCAAAGCAAATAAACTTTGTCATATTGCTTTACTTCCTGCAACTGTAAAGGTACCAACCTTCTGCTTGATGTTTGCAAAGTTGGAATACTTTAGTGTGTCATGCAGAACAGCAGGAAAACAAGGGCTGAGAACAGATGAAGCCATTTATTTTAGTGAAGCATAGGAAACTTGATAGTGATTCATTTTGAAACTACCTTAAAGCAAAATTTTAGTCTACTGACAAAAATCTAGTAACAGGAACCCTCATAAGGTTTCTACATTTAATCTAAATCTAGAACTGGAAGCCTACTTAATGCAAAGTGGAAGTAAGAAGACTGCAACGAGAAACAGATGTTAGAAAATTCCACAATTACTTAGTTTTTACATCTTTGTAAAGGCTGTGTTACTGTTCAGCTACATGCATGCAAATGTTTCTTAAGGTTTTTATAAATGCAAAGCTACAAAATGCATTTTGTTGTGATATTTTTAACAGATCTTTCAGTACCTTTCTATCTTTGTGCCCAGTTACAAAGCTGTATTAGGTCTATGATTTCTCCTTCTTATAATCTCCCCTAGTATTGACTGGTATATCGTTCATCCACCAATTAGCAAAAGCAATTTCTGCCATTTCATTGTTCAATCCCTTCTCTAGATCGCATTAATAATATTATAGTCCACGGGGGATTCTGTTGGCAGAATTCTAGGTGTTAACTTTATTCCATTTTGTGTCAGTTTTTAGAATGCTGCTTTGTTTCACAGATATTTTTATAGTAGTGTTGGTACCAAGAGACAACAAACAAAGCAGTCGTGAGGGCATGTTTATCTAAGTGCTGATTGATCTCTTTTTTTAATGTGGGTTTTACAAGCAGGCGTGATGAAAGGCTATTTACAGGCTTTGGCCTTGATGTTGCAAGACGCGCACTGCATTTCAAGCACCTACATCAAGAAGAAAATTGTCAGGAGCCTTAAAGCAAAGGCACTCCTCACAACTTCACACTTCCAAGTCTGGAAATGCCGGACTCGTCGTTTCCGTGGGATTTGCGGTGCAATCGCACGCAGTAACCGGCGTTTTAAGAAGTGCCCCTTGTGCAGCGCTGACGCGAGCAGGAAGGCTGGTCTGTGTGCGTGTTAACTGCACACACCGAGCGCAACTCCATGGGCGAGGAGCAGGCACAGGACGGGCCAGGCCAGCGCTGCTCCAGGGCCTTTTACAGTAAAAAGGACGAGAGAATCATCAGCATTCCCCAAAAAACTCTGGGGAAAAATGATGCAGGCGAAATGATGAATGAATAAATGAATGAATGAATGAACGATTCCGCCTGCTGCCCCAGCGCCACCCTGCGAGGGGCGCCGGGGCGGGCCGGGATGCTGTGAGTGGGAGACGGGGCCGGAGCCCCGGGCGCTGCCGGGCAGCGGGCGCTTCCCCAGCAGTCTTTGCTCGTGTCAGGGAAAAACCTACGGAGTGTAGACGCTACGTGTCCACACCTCCTCGCACCTCAGCCCGGAGCATGAGGACGGGCTTTCCCACCCATCATCCCACCTCTCCCGGCCGCCCACAGGCCGCCCACCCGCCCCGGGATAAGCGGCGGCGGGGTCGGGGAACAACCCACCCACCTGGGCTGCTCCACCAGCTGCACCGGGAGGGCGCTGGGGCTGTCCCCCGCCATGGCGGCTGCACCGCGGGCCCGGGTGAGGCGGCTCCGGCGGGGCCGCGGTCACGGGGCAGGCGAACGCCGCGTCCTTCCGGGCGGCAGCGCCGGCGGCCCGGCCCCGTCCCGCCCCGCCGGCGGTGCTCGGCCCTGGGCACCCGCGGCCCGCTCGGCCGCGGAGCCGCTCTGCCCTCGGCCCCGTGCCCGCCACAGCCCAGGTGGGACGGGAAAGCTGCTGCGACGTGGGAAAGAAATGTTTGGGGTTTTCCGGTATTCCTGCCGATGCTCCTGCAAAAGGCACGTGCAATGAAAATAACAAATTGACAGTCGCATCCCTCATGGCGTGGAGGGGTGGGTGTCTCTGTCCCCGTGTTTTTTGTGGTGTATGGTTCCTCCAGCTCCCCTCCCAACAGGCAGCCTCGTGGCTCCTGTTACCCTCGGATTAATGGGTACAGACACTTGCAAGGAGCTGAGCATTTCAAAAGTGATCATAGGCTGTTCACTCAGTGTTTTGGTGTATATCTTTGTCCATTTCGGTATCTGTCTTACTGTTCCTCATCCCATTCAGGGAGCTTTAAGTGCTCAGTCTGAAGGAAGCACAGTAACAAATCTCATTGTGGATTTTCTGAGATAAAATATTTAGTTCCCCCTTAGTACAGTTGCAGAATACAAACACAGCTTTTAAAAGACTTGTCAGTAGCTGCAGGGGAAAAAAAAACCAAACCAAAACCCCACTGTCAGAAACCATAACAGTATAAAATGACCAGTAACAGGAAAATCTGGAGACCTAGTAAATACTGCAGATGCATCTGGGCATCTGTGAGAGGCCCAGGCCTTGTGGAGATGGGAAGGCAGAGCTGGACTGTTGGGGGGTTTGCCTCACTCAGTTGAGGGCAGAAGCAGAAATTAGCATGTAAAAATCGTTATAAAATCATTGCTAACACTTAACAAGGCCTGTGACTTTAAAGGCCTTTAAAACTGCTGCTCTGGTAGTATTTATTTATGGGGAACGCAGCCCAGGTTCAGCGGCACTGAGTAAAGCAACATGGAGCTGAACACTGATGCTGGTCACAGAAACAGGCCGAGCTTTCACAGAATGGGTCGGGGTGGAAGGGACCACCGTGGGTCCTCCTCAGGCAGGGTCATCCCAGAGCACATGGACCAGGATTGTGTTCAGATGGTTCTGGAACATCTGCAGTCAGGGAGCCTCCACAACCTCTCTGGGCAATCTGTTCCAGTACATGGTCACTTGCACAGTAAAGTTCTTCCTCATGCTCAAGTTGGCCTTTCTGGGCATCAGTTTCCACCCATTCTTCCTTGTTCTATTGGATGGCACCACAAAGAACAGCCCAGTTGCATCCTCTTGACACCCACATTTTACAAAGGAGCCTCTCTCAGCTGCCTCTTCTTGAGGCTCAACAGGCCTAGCTCCCTTAGCCTTTCCTCATGACAGGTATGTCCAGACTCTTGGCCAACTTACTAGCTCTCTGCTGGACCTACTCTATGAGTTCCATATCTCTTTTCTACTGTAAAAGTCATAACTGCACACAGTACTCCAAATGCGGCCTCATCGGGGCTGAGCAGAGGGGAAGGATCACTTCCCTCGACCTTCCCAGAGAAGTGCCAGTCACCAGACTCGCAGCCTCCGTGGGGAATCCGGGCTGGCAGCGCCCACGCCGGACCCACGGCAGCGGCCCCGGCGCCAGCACGGCGCACTCCGGGCCGCGGCAGCGCCCGGCCCCGGAGGTTCCGGCGCGCAGTGGCCAGGCCCCGCCCGGCCGCCGTTGCCAAGGGCCGGTCGCTACCAGAGGGAGGGAGCCGGCGACGAGGCGACGCGGATTGGGCTCCGAGCGCCCCGGGCCGGGGGCGGGAGAGGCGCGGGCGGCAGCGGGTTCCGGGCGGAGCGGAGCCACATTGGGCAGCGCCGCGCGGGCTTGTGGGAGAAGGGGCCGTCCCCGCCGCCGCCCCCCGCCCGTCCTCCGGCCAAGATGTCTGACATGGAGGATGATTTCATGTGCGATGATGAGGAGGACTACGATCTGGTAGGGCGCGGGGCGGCGCGGGGGCTCAGCGGTACAGCCGGGGGTGCCGCCGGCGCTGCGGGCCGCTGCTGGTGCGGCGCACCCGCCGCAGCGGCCGCCCCGCCGGGTGCTGCCCCGGCAGGGAGCGCGGACATCCAGGATGAGTTTCCCTCCCGGGGAGGAGGATGCGGGCCAGGGGCTGCGAGGGGCGGGTGCTGCTGTCGGAGCGGCCGCTCGGCCGCCTCTCCGCGGAGGAGCAGGCCAGCTCCGGGCGGGCAGGTGGATAGGCCCGGGCTGTGCCCCGGCGCCGGGCTGGCCCCTGTGTGCCCCGCAGGGCTCACGCTGAGGGAGGGCTCCGGCGCGCTGCCTCCCCCCCCGCTCCTGCCCCGGCGCAAGTGTCGGGCACGAAGTGAAGTGATAAAGTTGCCCGCCTTTCTCCGCACCCGCGACTGCGAGAGGCCCTTGGGGGCAGATACCGTTCGTGTGCTTGTGTGAGCAACAAACTGAGGCAAAAGTAGGGGGAAGAGAAAGGGGAGTGAGGAGAAATGGCCTCACGGCCGGTTTCTGATCCAACGCGCCGAAGGGTGCACTTATTTCTAACTTTTTGTCTTTATAGTCTTTGTAACCTTTCTACCGCTTCCTTTTTGTTTTTATTTGCAAGGTTTGGGGGCTTTCATGTTACATTTAGTTAAAAGTTAACATCAAGTTTTGTTCAAAGCTTTTAAAGTTAAAAAATTGCTGCTTGTCTGATTAATTGTAATTATATTGCCCATACATTATTGGAGCTTGAGGTTTGCTTGGTTGGGTTTTTTGTTTGTTTGTTTGTTTTCTGAACTTTGATTGGATTTTTAGAACTAGACACTTTTTTTTTTTTTTAAAAAAAAAAAGCTATGTATGGTAGAAGCTTGAGAGTCTGTTTAATTCATTTCAGCTAAACCTGTGTTAGCAGTATTGCAGTTTCACTGAAGAACTCCAGACACTTGCTTCTGGAAGACTTGCTTTCTGTCACATTATTTGGTAGTCAGTGCCACTTAGGAATTCACTTAAAATGTTTACCTAATTTTATTTGGAATAGTTTCTGGGCAGTTTTTGTTTGGAACTGCTTAGAATGGTTGGATGACATTAGATATAGAATAAAAGCATCTGCTTTTGGTTTTGAGGGTTTTTTCCATTCATTAAGGAGTGCTTGTTTGACAGGCATCGTCATCAAAACCTTATGAGTTGCTTGTGTCACTATTCCAAAAACTGTTTGTGTTCCCCTTTCAGTCTGTGAATGAATTCACATACTGTAGAGACAGGGGGTTACTGAAGGAAATACACAGAAATCATTAAAAACATTTTGTTCCAAAGTTGATTTCCATTCATTTTTATTAACACTGAAATTTGTGTCCTGGTTTAAAATTCTTTGTTTTTTTTTTTTTTTCCATGTGATACAATCAGGAATATTAAAGACAGCAGAATTCATGTTCCATACCATTCCATAACATGAGAACTGGGCATGTAGAGAAACCACTGGAATTGCATTTTTCAAGATATACAGATATGAATAAAAGTGCAGTTCAAACTTGCACTGCTTTATGTCAGTTTTCTCCAAGAATAATTGGTCTAGTGCTTTTTCCTGTGTTTGTTTCTTCTGAAGTACTTTATTTCTCATTGGAAAAACCTTCCTGAAACACCTTGCTTGTGGCAGATTTCCACTTCTGACTGGAGTTACTTTTACTGGAACATTTTCATTCTCATTAATTACCCCTAGCTCAGACCTTTCAAAAAATTTTAAAATACTGCTTGTAATAATTAGGAGCACATTAGTTTTTTTCTTTTCAGTGTGTAACACCCATGTAAAGCATCAGTGAGTACCCAAGCTTCAGATTTTTAAAATTTAATTTCAGCTCATAATTGATGGGGAAAAAACCCAAAAATTGAAGTGTAAAAATATTCCAGCTAGATTAGTTTCAGCACTCTGGGACTAACAAACCATGATTGGCTGTTGTTTTCAAAAATGCTTGAGACTGTAATTGTAGTGTTCCACAGAACTGTTTCAGGAAAAAAAATTGAAGGGCCCTGAAGACAGGGCCTGATTTCTTCCTTTCATGTTGATAGCTCGTTAAATTAAGAGAAGACTGTGAGGGGATGCGTGATTCTCAAGCTGAACGTCAGTCACGGCTGCTGCAAGAGGCTTTGCAACAAAAGAATGAGTGCAAGACATAATACTCATATCAGTGCAGAATTGAAAGTAAAAGAGCACATGTGAGTGCTGTGAATACTCTTTTAAAGAACCAGAGGAAAGGCAGTGATTACAGAAACAGTCAATGAAAGAAGCAGCTATTTTGTCAAAATATGGTGAAACTAGGTTCAGGTCTCCCAGGATAGCTGCAATCATAACAATAGCAGTAAAGACTCCCCAAAAAATTAATTTTGTCAGCTTTTATTAGACTTGATTATGGCTGTTCCTCTTTAATGTGCACTTGACCTGCTGATTATGTAGAGCCAGTCAGTTAAATTTCCTTAACTATGCAAATGTTTCACACTTGAACTGAAATGTGAACAGATATTCCAAAGTCTCAGCTCTTTCCCAGCTTCATCACGGAATTTTATATAATTAGAGTAATTACTACATGTTAAACAATTGAAGACTACCCAGGTTGTAGTGGATTGTTTCTGTTTAGTTTTTCAGTAGGTAAAAAGTCAAAGTTTTACATGTAAATGACCTCAACCACTCCTACAGAAATGGAGTTTATTCACTGGCGTCTTGGTATAAGGAAGAAATTCCATTTATATTTGTGGGTAGATGAACCTAGATTCACAATTTGCTAGTAATGTGCTGTGACAGCTTTGATTATAACGTGAATTATTCCACTTTATGCTTCAATGAACAGAATAATGTTTACTGGTCATTATGAAAGCCACTCAGTTTTAATTTCTAGTTTGGTGCTCCTAGGTGCCTTACATGATATCAGTACAAGTTATTTTTACTAGATCCAGCTTGAGGGTGGAGAAGGACGAAGAGGGAAGGACCATTGTAAATTCCACTTTTGTTTTCAGTCTGGGACAAAGGACTATATTTAGAATTGACTTGGAGGCTAAACTCAGTCTTCCTCCAGAAATTGATTCTTCCAGGCACAATGACAACACATTGACAGTTGTTGTAGTACATCTACTGGTTTACTTGTTTTGTTTTAAATAAATAAGGGATCTACGGTGTTCTTAGTGAGTCATCTTACTGTGTTCTGAAATTCAACTTGAAAATTAATCTGAGGAAAGGTGGGACAAATATATTTGCCAAGCACCTTGTCTTTCTACCTTCCGAAGTTGTATTGTTCCAGTGACTTGTGGAAGATCTTTAACAATTCCAATGAACAGGCATCAGTTTGCACCCTGGTGAGTGGCTGCGGGTTCATGAGGACTGGCGTGACTCAAATACGGGGAGCATCCCTTCAGATTTCTGAGGATTTCCCGTTTCAGGATGTGGTGATATCAGGACATGGCCAGCCTTACTGCTCATTTCAAACTACATGAGTTGGCTCTGTCTTTCTTTCCAGCCGAGTGAAATACAGTCCATTGCAAAAGGAATTTTTGTTTGCTACCAAACTTGATAAGCAATCTCATCAGTAGACAGAGACATTATTCTGTCTTTTATTGCTGGATTTTAGTAGACACAGTTGAAATTTCATGTGGATGTTGTCCCCTCTTCCCAGTTGCTCATATTTCATATTATCATCATTCTATGGAATACATATATATGTTGCAAACAAGAACGTGGTAATGCTGCAAGAACAAGTACTCAGATCTAGGGAAGTACCAAATCAAGCATATCCACTTGGCCCTCTTCTGTTTCTTAGTGAAGTTTAATTACAGTATTATGTGATTTTAAAAAAAAGTGTACTTCACAGAGGACATAGGATGTACAGTTCTCTAAATTAGTTATTGTTTCATATTTTATATGGATTCAGCATGTGTTGTGATATTTTTTATGCATACTCTTCAGACTCGTCTTCAAACACAGAATTAATACATTTGAGGCTTATTTTGCTCATTGCCATAATGTCTCAGAAGGAAGTATTTAGGCAAAAAGCCTGAGAATAATTAGTCAGTAAATTCTTTCTATCTAAACATTGACAAGTGTTGCTAAGTTCTGGTTTTTATTGGCTTCTTTTGACAGTTATTTAGGGCTGTGTTTAGAACGGTGCTCTCCAGGATCTGATATGCAGTTGGGTGTTAAACAGACATAAATTAGATCTAAGTTATGCTGAAAACTGGACTTTCAGAAAAGGATGCACATAACTACAGGAGGGCTGCACAACAGAGGTAGAAAGAAAAGGCACTTTTTTTCTGTACTCTTTACATGTTGTAATACCAGGTTTTCCTTTCTGCAGTCTCCTGTCTCATTTCTGTGCATCTTCCAACTGAAAAAAAAATAAAACAAAGGCAGAGCGCTGTCTTTCATGGAACTCTTGTGACGCCATTGCAAATCGCTGGTTTCACAGATTTCTATTCCTGGTGTCAGCCCTGGTGTGAGCCAGCAGGCACTGGATGACTTGCAGAGTTAGGGAGTAGCAGCAGAAGAGAGACCTGGAATGTGAAGTAAAAGAAACCAGGACTCCCAGTGCATGGCTGAGCGGCTGCTGGCTTCTTACAAAAGTCGCGCTCTGGTTTTTACTCTCAGGGTTTGCCTCTGGTTTTTTCCTCTTTGCTCTTTTGCATTCCAGTCTGATTGCTTTCTTTATATTCATGTGCCTGGATAGCAACTGGCAAATGCCCATAGAACCTGGTAGTTGCTGCTTTTCCTGGTGCCTGCAGGTGAGGAAGAGCAAATGCAAAGAAAGTTGTGCTCAGTAGACCTCCTAATGCCATGGTTATGAAACAGAGTTAGCTGAAGCAAAATCAAATTTGTACCAGACTTCTTCTCAGAAACAATTGCACTTCATAAAAAGATTAATTGTTTGAGTCAGCCAAGTGGAAGGAATTTGGTAAAATCACCAGCAATTGACAATTGACAGTAATAAGTATTTCAGCAGTGTCCTTGAAAGATAATTTTTTTACAGAAATAGAACTCTTTATATTGTCTTTTTTTCTGGAAAGTTGCCCCTATATAGCTGCTTTCCCCGTACTCCTTTTTTTAAAAAAAGGTTTGCAAAGTAGGAATTCAGTTCCTGTTGTGGTGGTGAATGATAAACAGAGGAGCACAAGTTTAGGTAGTCACTCCAGTTTTGGTGTAGAAATTAGGGAAGTCCTTTAGGCAAGAGAGGAGACCAGAAAATTGGTAACAACAGTAGTTTTCACAAAGTACTTGTATCTTTGTTTTTGTTCATGTAGAAGTTTACCAGGTCTGTGTACTGCTCTAATAGATAGAGTGCCACACATCTACATTGAAATGTCACTGATACACTGTTACTCCGTGTCCCGTCCCTTACTCTGGCCCTGAGCACGGGGCCGTGCTTCAGGACCTGTAATCTCTGGAGGCCACATTGACAAGGCTCCTGCCACAGCTCTCAGAAACCAGCAAGGAGCCAGACAGCCCAAGCCCCTGGCCTGCTGCAGGGATGGGAAAGGGCAGGCTGGGAGCAGCCGGGGGGCTGGATGCTCTGACCGTGCTGGACAGACTGCAGATGGATCCGTGTGCTAAAAAGGATGGCTAAAGCTGACTCGGGTGAACTGACTTCTCTGTGTGCTCATTTTAGAAACTGAGGCTCAATGTTTTAAAGCTGTTTACTAGATAAAATTCTATGAAAACTTAATATGTAGCATAATAAAGACTTCTTAAATAAATTGGTTTCTTGATGCTAATTTAACTTTTATTAAAACTATTTGAAAGAACAATGTTCCAGGAAGAGTAAACGCCATCAGAGGTTTTATCTCTATTGCAATTGAGCTATGTAGTAATTTCTCTTCCTCCAAAAAGCAGTGGGATGGCTTAGGATTGAATATAGCTGATTACATTTAGAACATTCAGATTTTCAACATATCAGTGCTTAAATAATATCCTAACTTATGTAACTGCATTTTTTCAAGCTTTTACCAGGGCTTTCTAATTTCTTGAGTGATGATAAAATCCCCAATTGTTTGTTTTGATGATCCTCAGAGGAAGGAAGAATTCAGTGGGTTTCAAAGAGCAGTTCTGTGTACTCAGACTGCTCTTTTTTTTCATTTGTACTTATAATGTTGGTGTCCATTTGAAAAATATCAACAGAACCTTAGTTTTAAAAATTCCTAGGCCTTTACTTTTTTACATCAGCTAGAGATAAATTATATCATCCAGCTGCTTTTATATCTCAAAGTTCTAATTAAGGATGTTCATCACTATGTAAATTGTTAGGTCTGGATGCTGTAGTGGAAATTTTTAGAGTTATGTAGAAATCCCATTTGTAAACCATATATTTCTACCTAATTTGCAGCAAACTTCTTACCTAGAAGGTTTGAGCTGGGGAAGTTGTTCAGGCAGGAACCAGGGGTGCTGAAAATGAGGGTGAGGAAAGGCTAGGCTCTTGCAATGTGATTTTATTGTTAAAAGACTTTTCTGTTTTCAGAACTGAGAAGGAAATTAATCTTTTTCTTAATTGGAACTTTGAGGACACAGCTTTATACTTTCCTCCTTTTTTGCTTTTGGCAGAAGCTTAATGTTCTTGCATTTGTATCCTGCTGCACTAAGCCATCTCTGCATCAAAAGAAGACAGAGTGCTTGTCCTTCTGAATATCAGCACTGGCATAATTAGCATCAGTGCTTGAAATAAGATTCAGTATCTACATGGCTGATTTTTGGGGTTTTTTAACATTGTCTAAAGATTAATGGCATCAGCCGTACTTAGTTTGAGGTTTTAAAGTTTCCACAGCCATTAAGTGTAAATATGTCTTTTTTAAAATAAACCACCTTAACATTTTCTGGAAGTAGGAAAGCCTTATCTCCATTACAGCTTTGAGTCCATCCTAAGTCTGATGTGAGACAAATAGGCATTAAGTGAAGAAAAAATATAGCCATAAAAGCATAAACCAGTACCTTTGGTGCATTTCAATGCATTTCCATTGGGGGAAGAAATATCAATAGACTTAACACTTCTTTATTATGTATTAATATTATGAAATGATCTTTATGGGATATTTAAGTAGCATTGAGAAAAATTATCTGAAAAAAAGCTTCCTACATGAATCCACATCCAGAATCATTGCCAGAGCTAAGATGAAAGTTCAGATGTTTCTGGCTTGAGGCTACCGGAGCACGTTGTCTCCTAAAAGGAATTAATTTAGTTTGCTTTCCTTTTATCTTTGCAAATAGGCACTTCTGCCAAAAATATTCCCCATTGTCCAAGTTAAGCATAAACAAGACATCAGCTGATTACACATATCTTAAATGCTGTGTTGTTTATTTTTTGGCAGTCTGTATATATAAGGTGCCTGATACAGCTGTTGACATCGGGTGTGTGTACCCATAGCTGCTCATTGGAGTTGGATCAATAGGATAAGGAGTTTACAAAAACAAGCCAACCGAAATGAGAGCCTGCCCAATGAAATAAGACACTTGCTTCCTGTTTTCTTTGCTGTTTTCAGTATCACATTTTTATAGTTCTGTGGGAATTCAGAAAACAGGTTTGTGGAATTCGCAAGACTTTTCAGTCCATTCATTCTCACTAATGATAGTACTTTGTTGGGTGAAAATAAATACATACTTGGGCAGCTTGCCTACATGTTACAAATAGAAACATTAAAAGGTAGAAGGACAAATGTCTGAAGTACCGTGTTTATTGAAACTTGGTTTGACTGTGGGCTCCCATAATTAATTTTTGCTTTAGAACTTCAGCAAACTTAAACTTTGAGAGACTGCTTGCAGTGCAGGGAGGAGAGGCTAACTTAAAACCTTTCTTTTGTCTCATCTTTTTTTTTTTTGCTCCTTCCTATGGTTTTGGAGGAGTCCATTAATAGTAGGAATATACAAAAGAATAAATGTGCCTGATGAAATGCAGCAAGAGTAAAATCCACCCTAAAGGAGGGGACCCCATTATGCGTTCCTCATGCTGGTGCAAGGGAAAGTTACTCTGACAGCAGTAACTTTGAGATTTAAACAGATTGTTAGAACAGTTCATCTCCTTATAATAGCCAAAATCCTGTTCAGAGAAGTTAGCTTGAAAATACAGAGGTGTGAAGTCGTTTTGAATCATGTAGACATCAAATGAAATTATTATTTGAGCTTTATTAGTGTTTTGTAATTTGGACATGCAGCATTGTCCTTTAGCAAAAGAAGATAAAATATGCAGGGATTTTTCATCAGAAATAGTCTCACAGTACTTCTTAAAAAAATTAAGAATTAAGTAGCAATTGTTAGAAGTAAATACTCCAGTTTCTTTAGCTCTAGTGTACATGATGGATAATTATTTGATTAAATTATTGTGCTTATGCTGCACCCCAACATCTTTGGCAGCATTTTTAGCATTTTCATAATCATCTCCTGCTTCCCAGGGCAGAAGCAGCTGGTGTTATTGTCATTATTCTTTTTTTAAATTTCCTTAGACAAGGATGAATCGCTATGGCATAGAAAGGCAGATCATAGAGGGATTCATGGAAGCATTTGATACCCTCAGTAGCTGAATCATTACTTGTGTGGCAGCTCAGCCAGAGCCTTTTCTGCGGCTAGCAAAGGCTGGATCATCGAGTGCCTTCAGGACCAGTGGGCAGCATGTTCTCTCCCCTCCCAGAAATGACATGTGCTCTTGGGCCTCTGTGCTTAAACTCCAGCTTTGGCAGAATTTCAGTAATACAATCTGTACTTGTCATAAAGGTGAAGTTGGTGGAGCTATGAGTTCATTAACCTGCTGGCAAACCTGCTGGCAGGCAAATGTTGGTGGATGGTGAGTCTGGCCTAGGAGTGGGAGAGGGGGGAGGTCGTTGTATGGGCCCATACTGTTATGTGCTCTGAAACCAAACGCTGCCTCTTGATGCACCAGCAGTCCCTGCCAGTTGGACTGATACGTCTCACCATTTTTCAGCAGATTATTAGATGTTCTGAACTTTTTTTTTCTCTTATTGTTATTTTTTTCTTAAAATGTAGGAATATTCTGAGGACAGCAATTCTGAACCAAATGTGGATCTGGAAAATCAATACTACAATTCCAAAGCTTTGAAGGAAGATGACCCCAAAGCAGCATTAAGCAGTTTTCAGAAGGTTGTCTGTCTTTGTATTCTATCTCTTCTTTTTTATATTAATTCACATTTTAGAATATTTGGTACCATTTGAGTTATTTTCTGAAATCTTAAGAGTAGGATTTATCTTTTAAATTACTAATGTGCTGAGTTTATTATTGAGTATCTTAAACTCCTGGCTGACTGCCTTTCAGGATCATTCTTAGGGATAATAAATAGGACATGGTATAGTCTTATCACAGATCTGACTTTTTAATCTTCAGGATTTACTAAGTTAATTAAACAGTTCTAAATGTGTTTTCATGCATCAACAATAGAAACCAGATCCATCTGGGTTTTTTTAATGAAATGGTGTTTCCCCCAGTCTCGTATGTAACATTATATTTGCTTTGCTATCTGACTCCAAAGCTTTAAATGTATAAATACTAACTAACAGTTTATTTTCTTCATCTCAGTTTTAAATTTTAATGTTTGCATACTGTTTCGAGAAAACAGTATGTTAGATACAACGTTTTAAAGAAAAAATAATTTTTGCATCTCTTTGCTCATTTATAGTGTATAACAAAAGTATATACATGACTTTAAAAAAAAACTTTCTAAAGTTTTTACTTACAAAACATTTCCTTAACTATGTTGCATTAAAACCTAGAAGCATTTCTCCTGTGTGGAGGAACCGTAGTAGTTCAGGAGAGCTTTTTAACATAATTTGTTCAAAATTTAGTTGGCTCAGTTTTGCAGGAGGTGTTACAACTATTTTTGTGTACGTGTTCATGGAGTGGTGTTAAAATTTAGTGTTTGGCATTAAAGTGCTTGCTGTTAGACAACAACAACAGCAGCAACAATCATGTTCACCCTCCCTATGTCAGCTAAGTTGTGAAAACTGAGGAGATACATTCTCATTTTTTCAATAATACCAGGAAAGAATAAAATTGAAGAACAGGGCAGAGTCAAACATTACTTTGTAAGGAGCAGAGACAGGGGGAAAGGCCATGTGTGGGATATGTGTATTTTAAACAATTCCAGTTTGAATGAAGCTTTTATAAATATTGTTTTAAAAATTCTTCTTTTTCAGGTTTTGGAGCTCGAAGGCGAAAAGGGAGAATGGGGATTCAAAGCTCTGAAACAGATGATTAAAATAAACTTTAAATTGGTAGGAATTACAGCTATCACTTGGGAGTAAATAGCATAAATGTGTATTTGATCCAGAGACCTTAAGTTAGTATTCTAATTTATGGCTATGACAACTAAATCTAGCAGAACTTGCCTTTTGCAGCCTTTAATGGCTACTACAGATATGGCAGAGAAATTATGTGGTGTTTGCAAGTCAAAGGCAAAATGGATGCAAAAATAACTACTGTAGTTAGGTAGTACTCCATGGAAGTGTGAGGCTCAGTCCTTGCTGTGCTGAGGTGTCACACCACTGAAAGTGGTCATGTTTCTCTGGGTGTACTGCACCAGGACAAAACAGTGAAAAATTTATATGCCATGTATGCAGCCATTCCAAAGAATTGTCTGGCCAGCTCTGTTTTCTTTATTGAGATGAATGTTTTAAATGTGTGTTCTGTGCAGTCCTGAAGCTATTTCTGATTCTGCAGGTTATGAATAAAGTGGTGATATGAAAGTTTTAATAGTAACCACTACTGCATTGTCTTTATGCTTTTTTTTCCTGCATGTAAACTTGCAAGGTATCTCAGTTTTAATAATTAAAACAAAAATGATAATGTGATTTTGTTTTTCTTTTAGACTAACTTCCCTGAAATGATGAATAGGTATAAACAGCTATTGACCTACATACGGAGTGCAGTTACAAGGAATTACTCTGAAAAATCCATCAATTCTATTCTTGATTATATCTCTACTTCCAAGCAGGTTGGATCATCAGTTCTTTCATCTTCATAGTTTTCAGTTTTGCATTTTTAACTGTGGACATTTTTTATGTTTGGTTTGGGCTTTTTTGATCTTAATAGAGGAATTTTAAGTATTCATTAGCTGCCATATGTAAAAATATATTTCCCACATGTAGTTGATTCTATTAACACAGAAAAATCTTCATAAACTTGTCCTTTTTGGCAACATTTACCTGGAATTTCTATGTTAATAAATAGGAACTTTTTTTCAGCATAGCTACACAATATAAGTGCCCTCTCAAATATAATTTTTAATGAAATAATGTGGGTTTTTTTTTTATTTTGAGGGGAGAGGGGAATCTTTGCAGTGAAGTGTTGGTGTGCAACGCTGCCTGTCCAGTGCACTGTGCTAGTGAGGTGCATGTCCATAGGTACACAGCCCAGCTCCTTTTGTGTTGTTGTAGAAGCTTTACAAAGAGTAGGAAGCTCCCCTCACTGACTGCCTGAAAGTAGCACCTTCATATGGGGGATCATTGGTCTTTAGTGCTGAGTCCTTGGTCATTAGCACATCCTGCCACTCTTAGAAGTGGAAGTTGAATGCTGGGTTACTCCTAAGCTCTAAAGGATTGTCTTAGACTGTCCCTTCTTGGCACAGGTCATTGTCTCTGGTTTGTAGTTCAGCCAGACCTGGAGGGACAGTCTGGAAATCTTAACTTGATATCTAGTCACAGATTTGTTACCCCCAAAGCAACAGTGGCCATGAACAATACTAACACATTCTTTGTAACACTCAGCACTTTAATTTCCATTTCAGATGGGTTTTTTTTTGGTTTTATGCAAAGAAATAGTTTGATGCACTCAAGAGCTTTCTTCCACTCAGCATTGGTACTCCAGAAAGAAGAAGGCATCTTTCCTTTGACCATATTCCTCTTTTTTGTAAAGCATAATTTCTTTTTGATATGTAAATTATTTGTATTCTTTCAAGTGGGAACAATATTGCCTGTGTTTGTTACAAAACATCAGAGTTCTGTCCTTGGTTATATAAAATGGGTTTTATAAGGTGGCTTTCATTTTTCACAGATGGGTACAAATCTTAAAATGTGAATACTTTTTAATTATATCTGTTTCATATAAGAAAAGGTAATGTAGTTAGTTTGGTTATTTTAGAAGCTGTTTGCAGTTTAAATGCAAACATTAAGTAGATGCAGATACCTTTCTTATTTTGAAGATCAAGCATGCACTTTTAGTTTGTTCACATTGACTTTATTAACAGGTACAAATTTGCTGTTTACAATTATAGAATTCTGATTTTTTATGTCAGATGGATTTGCTTCAGGAATTCTATGAAACAACACTTGAAGCTCTGAAAGATGCTAAGAATGATAGATTGTGGTTTAAGACAAACACAAAGGTAAAATATATAACTTCCTATTTTTTGCTTTTCTTTGACACCTTCAGCTAATTCTTATAAATTATAATTGTGAAATTTTAATAGACCTCAGCACTTTAACTTTCGTTTTATTACAGCTTGGCAAATTATATTTAGAACGAGAAGAATATGGAAAGTTACAAAAGATTTTGCGTCAGCTGCATCAGTCATGCCAGGTACCTTTATATTCTAAATCACTGTGGCTTAGTAAACAACATTGAAGCTTTTTTTTTTTTTTAATGTATCTATTCTTGGCCTTTGAGGCAGTTTGCTGAGCTTTAGTACAGAGGGAAGAAATACTATGCCTGATTTTATTAGTTATCTGTTTGATAACATGAACAAAATATGCGAAGTGCTTTAATTCCTTCCTTAAAGATGATTTTTAAAAAATTAGAGGAATTTTAAGTATTCATTATTTGTGACTGCTGATTGGGTTTCTCTTCAGGTGCAAGGATGAGAAGCACATATCAATAATCTATAATGCATAGACATTCATTTTAAAATATAGCAAAGATTCTAAGTGAGCTTTATTCAAAACTGAAAGTGCAGTTGTTATTTTCCCATCTGGAAGGGGAAAAAATAAATTAGCCATGCAGTCTGCTGTGCTTGTTTCTGACACTTTTCCTCCTTCAGTATGGAAATAGGTTACAAATATCTAGGAAATGGTTGTGTTAGAGGCAGCAGAAGAGTCATATGTGTTACCTATATATATATATATATATGCGTTTGTGTCAGTCATTGTATTTATATACTAAGAGTGTGGCTTAAGGAAAGCGGAAAAGAATTAAAGCTTTGAGAAAAACATTTAATGGAAAATACTGATGTTTTAAATAAAGGGCTTCAAAATGTAGCCTGTAAGTAAGTTCTTTGAGTACATCAGAATTTCAGAGTTTCAGGAATATTCTTGTTTTTGACAGGAAATTACTGAGAGTATTTGGTTATCAGTGTTTTACTAGTGTAAAACTGAAATTGCTGTTCTCTTAAAATTTCACAGTATTTATTACTTAATCTGTCCTAGACTGATGATGGGGAAGATGATCTAAAAAAAGGTACTCAACTATTGGAAATCTATGCTTTGGAAATTCAAATGTATACAGCACAGAAAAATAACAAAAAACTTAAAGCACTATATGAACAGTCATTGCACATCAAGTCAGCCATTCCTCATCCACTGATCATGGGAGTTATCAGAGGCAAGTTCATCTTGAATTTTTCATTTGTCTTCTGTTGCGGAGATTTGTTCCATGAAAATCTGATAACCAGTGTTTTTTTCCAGTTCCACCTACAAAGACAGAGGCTTCTGTAGATTCAGTCTCATCATTTTCTTCTTGCAGGACTTCAGCTCTGCAGTTTTGGTGCCCAAGTACCAGAGGCACTGGTCAGAAGGGCAGGAGAGTTGGCTAAATAACTGTTAGGAGAGAAGCAACAGAAAGAGAAGAGGAAGACTTGCTGTTTGACACCATGGCAGGCAGCAAAAGATGAATGCAAAGGCATCTGCAGGGCATAAAAACAAAGGCTTGACAGGACTGCTGGCAGAAGGGACTGCTGTTCTGCAATCCTCTTTTATAAATTTGTATCTCACCTTGCTAAAACTCAGCAGGAGCCAAAGGGCTTTAAAATGTGTTTGAAAATATTATTTATTATCTGAAATAATGAACTGTAGTGGAAACAAGCCGTGTGTCTTGAAAAAAAACCATCTTCCCTCAGAACACTGTTGTGCCTTCCTCTTTTCCCTGGTGTAGATACTGCACAGACAATCAGGCAGCAGTGGGTACTTCAGAAATGAAAGGGTATAGAAAGTATTTCTCATTTTTTCTGTTTGGTTTTGCTCAACAGATAGGGAAAATTCCATAAATATACAAAGTCTGTTGCCACTGAAATGGAGATAAATTCTATCTCAGTTTTTGCAGTATTTTAACATAATGGTGATGTAATTATTGGCTATGAGGATTGGTGTTCTTCAAGTTCTATGGTGTAGGTTGGGTTTTGTTTTTTCTTCTTTGGAATGGGTTTATTCAAATGGCAGTGCTGTATGTTAAGGCCCTAATGCTTTTTTTTCCTAGTGATTTCAGAGAGCCAAATGACTTCTGAAAATGTTTCAGTAATCGATTTAGAAATAGCATGGAACTTGAGTACAGTTATTGTAGTCAGCAACAAGCACACAGTGTTCCTTTTCATGTGTGTTTTCTTTTCAGAATGTGGAGGCAAAATGCACTTAAGAGAAGGAGAGTTTGAAAAGGCACATACTGATTTTTTTGAAGCATTCAAGAATTATGATGAATCAGGGAGCCCCAGAAGAACCACTTGCTTAAAATATTTGGTCTTAGCAAACATGCTCATGAAGTCTGGAATAAATCCATTTGATTCTCAGGAGGTATTTTTTTTCTTTTTCGTTCACACACACACCCACCACCCCATCCCCTCACCCTTTTCTGAATATATAGAGAAATTACCCAAACGATGGAAATGGGAAAAAAAAAAATCTGAATTTGCATATTATGCTTTCTGTTCTGTGTAGGCTAAACCATACAAAAATGATCCAGAGATTCTAGCAATGACGAATTTAGTAAGGTAAGATTTTCATTTTTCTAGAGAAGGGAACAAAATGATAAAAAGAAAAAAGCTATGTTGTCCAAACTTGAAATGAAAGGGAACATTTTTAGAAATGGCTTTTCTCTGCACTGTTAACACAGTTATTCATAAATACGGGGCAAATATTCAAGGATTGTTTTTCTTTAGAAACTTACTGTGAGAGACCATAGTATAGATGCCACACTATGTAGGGGTATAGAAGCTGTGTACTTTTGCCACTTTATGGTGTGACAAAACCCTCATTTCTCCCTGTAAATAAAGTTGTCCCATCTTGTACTGCCACTGGTCTCTTTAGGCTGTGGCTGATTACATAAAATTACAGAAATTGACTTGAGTGACATCTCATACAAAGCCAGTAGAATAACTTGCTGCATGGATATGTCATGATTTCCTAAGTTGGGAAAATGAAACTTAACTCTCAGTGATCTCCCGTATCCTTCATACATGTGAAAATCAAAAGAAAGCCTCATTACCTCTTAGGCATCTCATTACCTCTACCTCACAGGCACCTCTGAGAATTTCTAGTGTATGAAGGTCATTAGGTCAGTGAACTGAGGCAGGTTTTGTACACTGCGTTTCAGAGCTCACCTGCTGTATCCTCTCTGGCCTGCTATGCTCCTTTTCCCATCTACATAAGAAGTAATGTCTGCTCACATTTTGAAACAGTTGATCCTGTGTTGTGCTGCTGTTGTGCTTTACCATTGTATACATACAAATTGTTTCTGAAAGTGAGGATACTCATTATTGACATGATGATTGAATAAATTACTTGGCAGTTTATTAAGGGACTATTTCCAGTAACTCATTCCACTTCAGAAGTGTTTTTTCTAATTCACTGTCATAGTTTCATGTGAATTTGAGGCAGAAGGAACTCCAGATGGCCTTACCCAATCTGATTTTATTCATATTTCTAATTTAGATCTTTTATCTTGACATTTGAGTATAACTCCTTCTTTAAAATTAATAACGTAGTTAAAGCAGTATTGATAAGAAATATGCAAAGATAAAATTAATTTCAAATACTGTAATTATGTTTTTAATCCTTCCTATACTCTACAGTGGGAACTTGCATGCTTTACATATAATAAAAAGACTTGTGAAATAATTTTAATTCAGTATATTTTATTGTTTTCTTTTATTATAAAGTACAATTTACTGGTTTCATATGATACAGTCCATGCTACTCACATAGCTATTTATAAGCTGCTCAAGTTCTGCCTTAAACTTAACAGGTCTTTTTCTTGGCCATTTTAATAACAGATTAATCTTTTTTGACCAGTTTCAAAACAATTTTAGAATGCAGAGAATATGAAGGACAAATAGATGTTGTTATTAAAATGTTTGATGTTAGTATTAAACAGAAATTGAAAGTTTTGTTTTGAAAGAATGTTTTTCAAGAAAAAGGCCTTTATTCAGAGGTTGTAGCTCTTGACCTTTAAATGATGCTGTGGTGGCACCTTCTTTTTGCAATATTTTCTCAGATGACAGGATTGACTCATGAAAGAATATATACACAAATAAGCTATAAACAAAAATCTAAAAAGTAATATTATTCCCAAATTACTGATCCTGAATAATCCTGGAAGTCTGCATTTCTTTCAATAAGCTATAAACAAAAATCTAAAAAGTAATATTATTCCCAAATTACTGATGAACAATCCTGGAAGTCTACATTTCTTTCTTTCAGTATTTTTAGCATTCAGCTTTAGCTGGACATTGTAGAGACAGCAACAGCCTTGTAGACTCTTTTTAGCTCTTATTTGTTCCATAAAGTATGACTTCATGAAGCCAAAATTCATGCAATGATACTTTTCAAAACAGGGTATTTAAGAATAGCTTCTTAAAGTACAAAAGTTTTGAAACTAGAGTGCACCTGTGGAACAACTAAATGTTCATACCAAACGTCAGTAAATGTTGCTAAAATTGAAACAGGAGAAAGGTAATTTCTGTTGCATTTCATCTAGAAATCAAGTTTTTTGCATATGAAGGTTCTGAATATAAATATTTTCCACCAGTGCTTAATACACCTTTTTTTTAGAAATTGTGGAACATAATCTTATGAGTCTGTTTTACTTTTAATAATTCAGTCCCTTGTACTAGAGTGCACCTGTGGAACAACTAAATGTTCATACCAAACGTCAGTAAATGTTGCTAAAATTGAAACAGGAGAAAGGTAATTTCTGTTGCATTTCATCTAGAAATCAAGTTTTTGCATATGAAGGTTCTGAATATAAATATTTTCCACCAGTGCTTAATACACGTTTTTTTAGAAATTGTGGAACATAATCTTATGAGTCTGTTTTACTTTTAAAATAAATAATTCAGTCCCTTGGTTTTTTTCTGAAGTGCCTATCAGAATAATGACATCACTGAATTTGAGAAGATTCTGAAAACAAATCACAGCAACATCATGGACGATCCCTTCATAAGGGAGCACATTGAAGGTATTTTAAAGGCTATTATAATCATTTTTGTTTTCACTACTTAGTAAGCTCCTTTTTTTTCCTTCCCCACCTTGGTTTATTTTTCTTTTTGGCACTAAGAGTTCCTTGTAATTACTTGTGGATTATTCCTTTGCAAGTTATTTAGAAGTTGGTCAGGGCTAACTTGCGTCCAGGCATGTGGCATGACTGCAAAGATATGCAAAACTGATGGAGAAAGTTCTAGAGGAGTGGATATTGTAAGATATCTATGGCGGTGTTAAGAAACTTGAATATTTTGAGTATTGTTTTTGGAATAGTGAAATGAGACCAACCCTCACCTGTAAAGATGGTTTGTATCAGTCTCATCCAGTTTCATGTTTGCTAGTTTATAAAGTTAATTTACTGCTTCAGATTACACAAAATACATAGACAATGTAGTGAAGGTTGCACTAATAAATATGTAGTAACATGTGAAAAGATACATGCTCTTCATTTATAACTTGTAGACAATAGTTGGAGTTATAGTACCTCTACTTAATAGAATGGGAGCACATTAACACATGCCTTTCTGCTCCATTCATGTGACAAAATAAAGTTACCTCATCCACTTTTCATGCATCTGAGAATTGAAGGGTCTCTTCACTTGAACACAGTGCTCAGTTCTTCAACTAACTACTGTTTTCAAGAGTGGGTCTGACTGTGGCAGTGCAAGATCATTTAGCTGGATAATTACATGAAACAAAAGAGTTAAATCCAGAGACCTGGTTTTCTTATGCTTGTTTGTAAAAGAGAACAGGGCAAACAGCAGGGGAAACTAAATATAACCCACTGCTGCTGTTCCATGTGGACTGCTGGTGAGCTGCAGTCTTGGAGGGAGACTTGGTAAGATTGGAGCTGGATGCTCATGGAGGGAGGTGTGACAGAACTGGAGAGCGAGAGCAGGAAGATGCATCAAGGCATTGAAGGGAATTGAGTGGCACTTCTTATATGCTACTGATGGCTCACCATGTTCACTCTCTAGTGATACACAGCATGTTCATGGTTATGTTTACATGCCTTGCCTCGTTTTAATCTCCACAGTTTATTGAGACACATAATCTGGTGCTCAGTGGTATATTATTATATGAACAGTTCTTGTTTAAACAGGTAAAAATGGACCAAGGGTTTTTTCCTCTGTTAATTTATAATTATTATTTATGCTTTCATTTTATCCAACTGTCTTTAATAATGCAAAAATTTATAAAACAATGACTGCACTATTTTATCTAAGCAAAATGAGCCTCTCCACGCAGACCATTTCATAAGACTTCAGTTCCTTATTGTAGTTACACCATTAGGCCCTGATCTTTGAAGGTAGCATCTTTCTGTATGGAGTGGTATTGCAGCTTTATTTCAATACTGTTGTTTTTACAGTGTTTATATTTTCTTCTCTTACAGAGCTTTTGCGAAACATCAGAACACAAGTGCTTATAAAATTAATTAAGCCTTACACAAGAATACATATTCCTTTTATTTCTAAGGTATGTGTCAGTAGCCTTGCATTTGTTTAAGTAAATGTGAATAAAAGCTTTTAAATAAATGTAGTGCTTCCAGAAATAGAACATCTAAAATACACTTAAACCATAAAGTACTAATGATGCACTGCTGGCAGCTTTGCAGTGCAAAAATGTAAATTTCAAGTGTCATCCAACTGCTTATTATAATATGTACTATGATATACTTCTAAAATACTCAACTACCATATTCTACTTGGTGTAGAAAAATCACATTTCTTAGGAAAAGTATAAAAAGTGAAATTTGTATAATAAAAAATGTTATTATGAACATGCATTTAATGGATGTAAAAATTAAAATTTTAACCCCTTTTGCTCATAAGCTGTCTTCACATGTTTGTGTTGTATGAGTTACAGAACTGTGGCAGTAGAACAAACCAAGTATTGCCATAGAATCCCTGACTTCACTGCCTAATCTGCAAAGAATGAAATAAAAACTCAGTACTTTTTATTATAAAAATATAACTACTATTTCCATCTCCTGTGGGTCTGTGATTTTGCCTGCAAAAATTCACAGCATTATAAAATACATCATGACATATTAGGGATGCCTGGTTTTTATGCTTAAATTCTCTTTAGAACTTGGTATGCCTTTTTTTTTAAGCTAGACTTAACACTTGCAGAACTTGCTTGAGCCAGAAGATGCAATTATGTCTCTAAGTGGTTTTGGGTGCAGATCCATTCTTTTCTGATAATTGTTGTTTTATTTTATTTCCTGGGTTTTTGTGGTTATGGTTTATTTTGTTGTTATTTGGTTTGGGATATTTTTTATCTGTTTCTTTTTTCAGTAAGTCAGCAAAGGAACTCATATCTGGAGCTTCTAAAATTTTGCTTTCGCCTCTTCAGCTTTTTCTGAGAGGTGACTGGTCTCTTGATTCTTGGCCATGTGTCCTTTGGATGGAGGTCTTTTGCTTAACAGATCATTACTGAATTGATACTTTTGAACAGTAAGAAGCAGAGGTTAAACCGAATTCTGTATATGAAAATAAAGATTGAAGGGTTTTAATGTTGCAGAACATAGTAGCTTCATAATGAGTTTTCTTTTTGTTTCAGGAGTTAAACATAGATGTAGCTGATGTGGAAAGCTTGCTTGTGCAGTGCATATTGGATAAGTATGTACCTGATTCTTGATTATTGATCGTTGATTACTTTAAAATAATCAAACTGTAGAAGAAGCAACAAAACAGTATTTTGGGGCATTGTGATAATAGTGGTTGATTGTAGAAGTGAACGGTAATGGTGTTTACTTTGGATTTGCTTGGTTTCTGAGCAGCAAAGTATGTTTGAAGGATGGGAGCCAAGAAAATTATACAGGGAGATTGAGTAGCATCATCTTATTTTAATTCTTAATTACATAATAAATTCCCTGAATTATTATGAAATTATGAAAGTTGTTATTATTATTAGTAATTGCTGCTTACACCCGTGTATATTTTTGAATGCATTTTCAAGTTGACACATTGGTAGTCTGCTCTCTTATCTAGAAAAAATTTAACTACAATTTGTAAAACCTATTTTCCTGGAGAGTAACTTGTTATAACTACTACAAATATATAATCTATACATGGGCTTGTATTGTTTGACTTCTCTTCATATAAATCTCCATTTTTCATGATTCTTTGACTTTCAAGAACTGTTTATGTCATATTGCTTCAGACTTTGTGTGGGGTCATACCCAAGCAGATAAAACATGCATTGCCCAATGAATTAGTTCATTTGATGGCAGCTTAACAGGCAGTACTGCCCAGGACAGTAATTATAAAAGTGCTGAATTCTGAAATGGACTTTGTGCCTCTCTTGTATAAGACCTCTTATTTTACCTCTGATTCATTGTTAGCTCCTATTTCCATGTCCATTAGCAATTTATAGTTTTTATTTATTTACTCCTAGCACTATACATGGCCGAATTGATCAAGTCAACCAGCTCCTAGAACTGGACCATCAGAAGAGAGGTGGTGCACGTTATACTGCGTTAGATAAATGGACCAACCAACTAAATTCTCTCAACCAGGCTGTAGTCAGCAAGCTGGCCTAACAGAAACCAAGCTTCTACAAACCTACTTAAGGCAACAGTGCAGTGATGTAAACCTTAAAAGAACTGGGAATGGCAAAACTACTGTCGGTTGGTGTGCCCTGAAATTATTGGAGTTATGGCAGAAGTGCTTTTTTGATCAGCTGGTTTGTGTTTTGCTGCTGCATTTATCCCAAGAAAAAAACAGCTTTAATCTCCAGAAGAAAACCAAAATGCCACGGGATTTATGCTGTATTGACATCTTGCCCTAAACATACAACATCCTAGTAATTTGTCAAGGGGCAATTAATGACCAGAGAGAAGATTTTTGTCATGATTTTAAGTACACTGACACGTTACTGTTGGTTAAATTTAAACATGTTTTACCTGCAGAAATTCTCTCACAGAAATAACCTGCAATAACTTGAAATGCATACCCTTTTGAACACTTCCTTTTCTCATGTATAAATTGAAATGTTTGCTGCATTTTGCAAAATGTCAGTTCTCCAGAAATGTGTCCATATATTTCTGTACCTGCAGTGTAGTAAAGGTTTAGAAGAAACCCCATAATTATAGTGGCATACTGTCACTTAGGTTTCAAGCAGCAAAATAAACAGTGCAGTTCAGAAATTGTACAGTTTGTTTCTTGATGTGCTTTCATTATACTTGAATTTTACTTGTGGTATTTTTAAAAGAAAATAGGTATTACTTGATCTCATCACAGTGAAGATTCTAAGTCTAAGATACGGAGATTCTAAGTGTGACCCCCTTGGTATGTGTGCTGTTGATTTATCTTTTTTTTTTTTTCCCTTGAAATAGTGAACCATAAATACTAAAGAGCTGACATTTAGCAGTCTTGTTAACTGACTTTTAGCTTCAAGATGCCAAACTGTCATCAGTCCTGTCTTGTTATGTTGGTGGGTATTTGGCATTTCTCAGGGATATGTTTGGTTTTTATTTTGCTACTTCAAGAATAGAGATTTGCCACGCAGCTCGGTGGGAATAGAGATGCAGACCCTGATTGTTCTCTCTCTTTGCCTAATCTGTGGTATTTTTGAGCAGATTCAGTGTACACAAAATGACACTGTGTGTATGGAGTGGGGACCAAGTGCAGTGACCTTGCTGGTAATGGAGTCTGTTCTGTCCCAGACGTTTGAATGCAATCCCTTCAGAGCTGCTGTTTCCTGCCGTAGTACAGCCAATGCCTTTTGTGGCCTAAGATTTTGGGGTCATCAGATCATTTTAAAATAAAGGCAGTGTTGACCATAGCAGATTTTATTCCTGTAGCAGATCAGAGCTGACAGAAAAATTCTCTTGTAGGTCTCAGAAATGTAGTAAAAGGGGTTACATTTTCCATAAATGCAAGTATTCCAGTTTAAAGCAGAGAGTAGTGGGTGATGGTACACAAGCAGTGCCACACAAACACATTGTAACAGAAGGAAAAATCTCTATGTAGAGTAATTAACAACACCTCAAAAATAATGAAAAAGTCTAATAAATCACAAATGTTCATCACATACATACAAGGCAGCGTGGTAAACTCAATGTTCTAGGGCAGGACTTAAATTGGTAACAGGGTATAATTAAATAGGATAAAATTAACTTCAATCTGAGGAATAGTTATGTCCCTTAGAAAATTATTTTGCTCTGCAGTTGTCAAAGCAAGTGATTTTTTTTTTCCTAGTGTTTACACCATAAAACTTAATGTGTACTATGAGTAGCATGATGTTGAATCTTGGGTGAGAATTTCTTCTTCACTCATGTATTTTTTTACCAATAGGTGTTTTTAGTTTATCCACTTACTTAAAATAATAGTAAAATTTAAATTTTTAAGCAAAGTTTTTTTTCTTTTGTAAAATCTGTATATAACATTTGACTAAAGCACTTTGTATTTTGTTTCCTTATAATGCTGTGATGTGTAATGTAGTTTTTACTTTAAAAAATCCAGTAATAGCTGGTGATGTGAATTTGAACTTAACAACAGTGCACAGTCATTGGGACCCTTACCTACAGATCCAGAAACTTTATATTGGATAGCAAATCTTGCAGGGTTCTTCCTCCCTTGGAGACAAGGATTGTCACAGCTCTGTCAAGGTTTTCCTTCCCATGGGGACAGGGGACAGTGTTTGAATATTTGTTTGAGTAGGTTTCCTTTCTGTGCCACTTCCCACCACCCTTGCTGTGGGAAGGAACAACTCTCTTCTAAAGGAGGGGGGAAAACAGAACTGTCCATAAACTTAAAATCACTGAAAATAAAAGTCTTCTTGACTTTGTCTGTTGTATCTCATGTAACCTTTTCCATCCCAGCTGTGTCTGCTGGGGAGGCACTTTGGCATTCTTGGATTTTTTTCAAGAAGGAAATGGGAATGCTGCAGTACATCTTGTCATGTCCATCTAGTTCCTTTGTTTTATCTTTTTCTTTGCGGGGCTAATTGTTGTAGGACTAGTCCAAGTAGTGAGGGACTGTCAGTCTGAACAGTGAGGGCTAGCAATGTTTTTAGACAGAAAAAGGGTCAGTCTACCTCTAAGAAATGGTTGTGTGTTTTGGCATACTTCAGGTCTTACTCGTGTGTACAGTGCCTCAGCATCTGTGCTCTAGGCACATAAGGAAGATTTATATAATCCCTAAGGGATTCTACCCCTTTTCTGAGTTCTCACAATTCTTGACCTGGAAGATGAAGATATTCTCTGGGGAAATACTGAGGAGCTCTGTTGCCATACAACAGCAGCAGAAATCACCAGTAGTTGCTGTAGCCCACCTACAGTCCCTGGTAGTTCTGGTTCTGGTGTCGTTTCTGTTTCCTCAGGAAAAGTGAACAAGCACTTGAAGGAAGAGAGTGAATGATTTTTTTTTTTTCCCAAGAAACACCATTGCACTGCAGGTTGTTTGAGATGTGGCAAGCAGCCTCACTGCATTCTCAGTCTCAGGTCCAGTCATTAAATGTCTGCAATTATTAATTGTCAGACCCACACTTGTCACAACTTCTTGGGTGATTTTATACCTCTCTTGTTGCTGCTGGTACAAGACAAACTGGCATTTTAGTTACCATAACACTGTTTGCAAAAGAACATTTTAATGGCTGTTGTAATCTTATGTAAGATTACAACAGTGATTAAGCTGTGTATATATAAACCCTTTTGAGTCGCTGGCAGCTTATGCATTAAAACTGAACAACAGGCAAATCTGGGAGGATGTGGGTGCTATGTCTGCATTTTAGATTTTTACTATTATTTTTAGTCAAACACACTTTGAAGGAATTCTTTGTGCATCTCAAAGTCCTATTCTAATGGATTGGATCTGAAACCAATTTCTTTTCATTTTCCTTTTAAACAGGCCTGTTGTTAAATGTAAAAAATACATTTAACAACAACAACAAATGCCAGAAAAATGGCAAGGCAGCTGAAATGCACCCAGCAGAATAATACAAGTTATTTGAATTTTAGTCTGTAAATAAACTCCTATTTTGTAATTACTCAGGAGTTGTCAGCTGTAAAACATTATGACTGTCATTGAAGATTGTATTTTCATATTTTTTTCTTTGAGAGGTAGTGAATGAATTTGAGTAGGAACTGTGTATGTATGGAGTAAAATTACATCACTTGGGACAGTACCCCTTGCTTTCTCAAAAATACAGCCTAAATACAGAACTAAATTTCTTTATATAGATGGTAATATGGAATTTAAATTTTAAAATGTAGCTGTTACTTTTATTATTTTCAAAGTGCCAAAAATATATTTTAGAACCAGGTTAGTGAACTAGGTAAACTACATTACAAGCTAATCAACTGTTTAAATGTTAATTAAGATATTAAGAAAGGATTATCACCATCTTAAATGCCTCTGTGTGGTAAGGTAGATTGCAAACTATCTGTGATAGAATAATTGCATATGTAGTGCTAAATTTGAGATGTAATAGGTGTTAGCATTACAGCAAGAGTGAAGGCTAATCCTCTCCTGGCCGTGTTAGGAGGAGTTGCATGGCAGCTCTGTCCTGGCTCTGCTGCCTGTCTGCAGCTGCTCTCGGTGGGAGAGCTGGGCTCCCTCTGCCTGCTGCCAGGCAGTAATCGCTGTTGGAATCGTGATTCTCAGTTCTGGAGCAGTTCCCAGCTCACCTTCCCTCTTTGGTTCCAGTTCTGTTCCCTGCTGTGGCTGCCGTGCAGGACACCACATGGCCCATCACCAGATACAGTTTTATTTGCCAAGATACACTTCATTTTGTGGACTTGTCTTTTTTAGTAATTATGCTGATGATTTTAGTCCCAGGCCAGTAAAACTGTTATTTGGGTGTCTGCTTTGTTCCTGCTGCCTTTTCCACTTGCTCACCCTGGCAGCCTCCAGCCCCACAGTGCTGCTGCAGTCCCTGTTCAGGTGGTGCTGCTGCCGTGGAGCTCAGTCTGAGCCTGCCGGGACGTCATGGGGAGGGTGTTACTGAGCAACCCTTCCTTCATGCTTCCATGCCAGTGCCACTAATCCCATACAAATGTTCAAGCTTTCCATATAAGAAGCTGCCTTGACTTCAGTGAGATGTGTGTAATCAGATCCTTGTGTTTCGAAGGACTTTGTACCCACTAGATGTAAACAGAGCCCATATAAGTAAGGGTGTGAGTAGCCACACATGTGCTGTTAGATTTGCTTGTAATCCTGATTTGAATTCTGAATACAGTCATTACCAAGTGCCTTTCCATATCTTGCTGAGATATGTTGGTTTAGTCTCCCATTTTTTATTTTTGTGTCGACCTAGATTTTCTTAATTTGATTTGTTTCCTCCATGGTGTTCAGGAAGGATATCTCCACTACCCTGCAGATGCAGCAATAAAGTCAAAAACTTAGTAGCAAAATTACAGTCAGCACCTGCTGAGTTCAACCATTTTTGCTTATGAACTATTCACTTACTCCATGTTGCAGCAAAGAAGTAGCAAAAATTGTTTACAAACTGCCAGATTTGAGAACTGGACCCTTATGATTGAGTATGAAAAATCAGCTGCCAAGGATGTTCAGATTTAATCATGTGCAGCTACCAAGTGTTTTAAAATTCAGCAGGGTTTGTAGAATTTTTTGATGGCTTCCTTAAGAATTTTGACACTGTCGAGTTCTCTTACACAACACTCGATCAAGATGATGTTGTAACCAGATACCCTGGCATATTTGTGATAGCTGTGGATAGAGGATCTAACATAACTGGTTCTGAGTGCTTTGGTTTGTTTTTCTTTTTGGTGATAACACAGTTACGTTTTATGGGAGACTTGAGTTTTTTTCTCACCTGAGTGGCCACTCAGGTCACCCAACATGATTTTCTGTATTCTGTATATTGTATAGATATTTATGTAGATCTCATGTCTATTTAATCACTGCCCAATTTAGATCTTAGACATTCCTGTTATTTGAGAGTGCATAACAGCCCTTTCAAGTGTGACCTTTCTGTTGGTATGTATCTTGGGAACAAAAGAAGAATTTCATAACGGACAGCTTGCCATAATGAGTCATTATTTTTAAAAAACACAGCAACTATCTTAAGCAAATGTCATAATATATATTCCATGGTCAGCATCAATTTGAACAAATTAAGCTGCATTCCACACTGAAACACTGGTGTGATAATACAAGAAGATGATTGTTCTAGTTGTTTCAGTGGGA